CATATCCCAGCCAGCTGTTGGCCCCGCTTTTTTATATTACAACTTTTTAATCTTTTTCAACTATTTTTGAATTTAATTGTAAAAAATCTCTTTCCCACCCTCTTCCACTCCTTCCTTTTCCTTCTCATCTCTGAACACCATGACCGTCATACTGACGAGGTGCAGTCGCAGTGTTGCTCTAGGACGTATATGACTTAATGGACCGAAACGTCCCAACTCATTCGTACCTAGTTTTTCCATACTAACTATATTTCTACATCCAATCATACATAGTTCGCTCCATGTTTGCTCTATTTAAGTTCTTAATATTACTTGCAAGCTATAATCATGCTACAATCAGCTAACCATAAAACAAAAAACAAGTTACATTGGAAGGAAAAATGAAAAAACTGAACTTATCTGCTCCGAATTATCCCAGTTATTAATAATACAATTTTTTAAAAAAACTAAGAAGTATGGCTCAGTGGCAGATACAGCTCTCATGTCAAAGCTCAGGGGTTCGATTCCGCTAGTGAAACAACAGGTCCCTTCCCAATTCATACATCAATTTTGACAGAAAATTAGTGCTGGTTCAAAACAAGGAATCGCCATCAATTCGCTTCTATGCAAGCTAAGAAGGAAAAGAAACTTACAGTTTTGTCAATATCTTTTTTTTTGCATTCCCCCCGTATCCAGACTAAGCCCGGCAAAAATCGTCCAGTCGGTAAATTTGGGACATGTCACAGTTTTATAACAGAAAGTTATAATGGGGAAGAATGGGAAAAAAGGGAAAAAAAAGGAAAAGGAAGGTTAACTTTACACATTAACTAATTACTTTTCATGCACATTAACTAATTTATTTAGTCCCCTTCTTACTTAACTTTCAAAACTTTTTTACCACAATCGTCGTACTGACGAGGCCCAGTTGTGGTAAAGGTATGAAATGTATACGACTTAATGGACCTAAACATTTTTTTACCTACTTTAATAATTCCTTACATGCTTTTCATCGTTTTTTCTCCCATTTTTTCTTTAACCCTAAAAAGGAAGGTGAGGGATGAAAATCGGAAAATTTATGAGTTTATTATAATGGTAAGAAATGTTTCGGTCCACCTTGCTGTGCCTAAAAACTTCTACATACTGGCAACAAAATGAAGTGCATGAATTGGAAATATGTAATTTAATTTTACAAAGCAAAAGTGAATAACAAAAGAAAGTTCCAGGGCAACCTTGGCCTGTTCCTCAAAACGAAGTCGTTGAGTTATTGGATCATTTAACTCTGTATAAGCGTTGACGATTTCCTTTGTTGCTGCGAACAGCTCGAAACGTTCCGTTAGGCCCGGTATTGAGCGATGCCATTTGGCCAGCGGTGACATGATTTGCGGATGGCCTGTGAGATAAGTCGGTGATATAAAAGTCGGCTCCAGAAATTCGCCAACCAGCTGAAGGAAAAAAATTTTCTAATTTCACTTTTTACGAAAAAAAATTTTCAAATGTACCATTTCGCTGGCCAAAATATACGGTAAACAAAATGGGATAATCACAAAATCGCAGATGATATTCAATGGATCCGACAAATACTGAGTAGGTAAGAATTTATAATTTTATAATTTTCCCCTTTCTTCCGCTTCTTCACTTTCCTTCTATTTCCTCTCTTTCATGTCTTTGTTTTTATCTTAAAAATTTGTATACTACACAAAACCATCTAAATTATTTTATTACCACAATCGTAGTACTGACGAGGTACAATTGTGGTAACGGTAAGAAATGTATACAACTTAATGGACCGAAAAATTTCTTACTTGAATAATTCTTTAGAACCCTTTCATCGTTTTTTGCTCATATTTTCTCTCTTACCTAACTTTGGGCTTACTGACGAGGTACAATTGTGGTAACGCTAAGAAATGTATACGACTTAGTGGACCGAAACATTTTT